TTCTCAATTAATCAATAAGTTGTTTGCTCCATAAAATTTTGAATGATCAGTGCTTCCCAAAACCAGAGGTGACGTCCTCAAATGCCTTGTTTTGTGCACAACCCAGAGATATTCAGATTACTGTCAGAGAGGACAAAAGAAAGCACGTTTGAGCTGAAGCTGAAGTTGAGAATTTGGATAAATGATAAATGGGTTGTTAAAATAGTATTAATTAATTTAACAGTTGACAACTAATTGATTGATCAACTAATTGTTGCAGCTCTGATAGCTTTCCCCTGTACTGTAAAGACCTTATTATTGAAGTAGATTTCTAAAATTCACGACAGCAACTGTCTGTCACTGACACCAGCGCACACTTTGGCCTCACCCAAATATTTGCCCTGAAGGCACACAGCTGGGGTAATTGCCACATTAGTGTCCCGCAGACAACAACAACAACAACAACAACTTAAACACTTAAAGAAAAGGTTAGTTTTCAATCAGTGTTCTGGGTAAACTGATGACACCAATGAACATATTAAGAGGTGCCTGACAGGATTTAAAGGTGCAGTGTGTAACATTGAGGAGGATCTATTGGCAGAAATAGAATATTGATAGGTATGTCTTTATTAGTGTATAATCACCTGAATATAGGAAACCTTGTGTTTGTTACCTTAGATGAGCTGTTTTTGTCTTCAGACGCTACAGGTTGCCTTCCATGGTTCCACAGTGTTCCATTTTGATCCTCTTTAAACTTTCCACTGTGAGTCCCACTGTGGGTTAATCCTGAGCACCTTGAATGTTGTGTGACGTCCAATCCCAAGCCTTATAGGCGTCAACCTAGTGCAGTAGTGGGTTTACGTGTGCATAGCTGTGTATAAGTTGAGTGCTGTCTGCTGATAACACATTTGTTAGTGCTGCTACTGTAGCTTACTGTAGCTGCAAAGTACAGGAAATCAAATTGCAAAATTAAATATAAATGGATAAATAAATAAGTAAAATTATTTACACTACAGTCTCAAACTGTAGATTTCACCACATCTCATCTCTGTACGCTGATGAAAGTGTTTTCTGTCTTCTGAAACTGAGCTTTTAAGCCTCCTGCATTGAGTATTTATTTCTGTACGATTATTGAGTTGTTTTCTGTGTTCAGGTACACTCACATCGAGGCCGAGTGTCCCTTCATGTCTTTTGAGGATCTACTGAACAGACTGGAGGATCTGGTGTGTGACGTGGTGGACCGAGTGCTCAAATCCCCCACCGCCTCGCTGCTCTATGACATCAACCCCGTACGTCAGCTGTTTTAATGTGTGTTTAAACTAAAACGGTGTGCTGCTGAAACAAAGTGAGGATTGATAGAACGTTCATTAATTATACATTCTGATGATAGACGGATACGATCAGTAACCGTGGAGAACTTGAAAGTTCATTCTTGTTAACAGCAGTTGATTAAACGGTCTCACTTTACAGCCCTCTTTGTAGCTGTTCTGGAGCTTTTGATCACACGATGTTTAGCAGATGGACTTCATATTTGATATTTGATATTCCATAGTGATTTTCTAACAATGTTGATATTTTCTTTGATCGCTTTTTCCAGAACTTTAAACCCCCCAAGAGGCCGTTTAAGAGGATGAACTACACTGAAGCCATCGAGTGGCTCAGAGAGCACGACGTCAAGAAGGACGACGGCACCTACTACGAGTTTGGAGAGGTACGAAATACACACACCCCTCAGAATATCTAACACTTTAGTTATTGTCAGCAGATTTCTCATAATTGACACTTATAAAAGTAGCCCACAATTCGGTTCAAGTAATCCTATTATTAGTATAGTTATTAGAATATGAGTTTTTACGTAAAAACAGACTTTGACAAAGCTCCTCCAGAGCCACAGAAGACATTTTACAACTGCTCTCCCAGACCTGGTAGTGCTCTTCATGACAAGTAAAGTGAGCTCGTGCTGTTCTCAGTGTGAAGTTCACTTGTTTTCTTCGTTGAGCGTCTGTGGAGCAGCAGGTCAGCAGACCCAGTCTAATAAAGGTCTCAGCTCCCCTGCAGTTTGTAGACTGTCCTGTAGGGGGAACAGCTGTCCTTGTGGTCAACTGGAGCTCTAATATATGTCAGAAACACGTGACCACACTTGTCTCCTGTTTCTGTGAGCTCACAGGGCTCAAGATATTTGTGTCGCTACATTCATACCAACATTACTTGAAGAAATAATTACTCAAACATACTTTAATAAACGTTTTATGTCTTGATTTTATTGGTAAAAACCCCGTTTTTAGTTTTTGTGGCCTGATATTAACCTCTCTGTTTTGATTTGTTACTGTCAGGACATCCCCGAGGCTCCAGAGAGGTTGATGACAGACTCCATCAACGAGACCATCCTGCTCTGTCGTTTCCCTGCTGAGATCAAGTCCTTCTACATGCAGCGCTGTGCTGATGACAAACGCCTCACTGAGTCGGTACGAACCTCAACATCAATCTAACTGAACTTAGGGCATCTACCTAAATGTATTTTTGACATTTGAAGTGGGTGGACAGTATGAATTAGATCTTTTATAAACCTAATAACATTAAGTCTGATAACATAAAGTCTAGTAGAGCCACACGACTCATCATTTTATCCCTGTTCAAGTTAGCAAGGGGCTGAACTGAAAGCTAGCCAGCTCGGCAGGCAGAAGTCTCTGGTGTACGGATTTATCTGGGCAGTGTCTGTGCTGCAGGTAGCGGCTGTTTTGACTCCATGCACCACTGAGCAACTTCCAAAGGAACGAACGGAGACCAGCATCACACGCTAAATCCGGTTCTTCCTTAATACATCCAGCTTTGAACACATATATAAGATTAAGAGTTTCCAGCCATGCTAGCGCCTCTGTGAGGTACTTGGGTACAGCTGTAACAACGCTGTTTACAGTGTTTACCATGTCCACCATCATTTTAACATGTTAGCATGCTAACATTGGCAAATTAACACCAAACAAAAGGCTGATTGGAATATTATTAGTTCTGCAAGTATTTGGTCATACATTATTGGACAAATCGACTCCATGGGGTTAGAGGAAAAGTCAGTGCACCAAATTCCATCCTTCCAGTTGTTGTTGAGATATTTCAGTCTGGACTCAAACTGGTGGAACAACCGACCGACCAACACGTCCATCCATAAAGCCACAGGGTCACTAGCAACCAACAAATACATCGTTTTTATCTTTGATACATTATTACATGATACATTCACACTGCAAGCCCTTGCGCTCTATTCTATCTGTTGATAAAACCAAACCATTTTTGTTTGGCTGTTCACAAATTCTGGCTAATGCAGCCAGCTCATTGGTTTACAACACTGCCCGCAATGATGTAATACAGCCAGAGAGATGATACAAGTATAAACTGTACGGCAACATCTCGACACATTTCTGTTGTATTACAGTGTATAGCGCTCTAACCTAAATGGAGCTGAGGTGGGAACTGGGGCCCTTAAAGTGATACACCACCTAAAGGCAGACCTTTGGGTGCCACCTTTAAGCTGTGCAGGAAGCCTTATTGTCTAACTGATGAGCTGTGCGTTCGTCTGTGCTGCAGGTTGACGTGTTGATGCCAAACGTGGGCGAGATTGTCGGAGGCTCGATGCGTATCTGGGACTCTGAAGAGCTGCTGGAGGGATACAAGAGGGAGGGAATCGACCCGACCCCGTACTACTGGTACACTGACCAGGTAACAGACCAACTGAGAGCTTCTTTTCTGTTTGTTTGGCTTTGTTGCACCATAGCCCTGCTCACCTGTGGATTCTCCACATCTGTCTAGACCTTGCCCGTTAGTATGAGTGGGCCCCTTGCCTTACTGTGTGTTTCAGTAACGGTGTGTATTAACAGTCTGCTCTGTGTGTGTGTGTGTGTGTTTCAGAGGAAGTATGGCACATGTCCTCACGGCGGTTACGGTCTCGGTCTGGAGCGTTTCCTCACCTGGATGCTGAACAGACATCACATCCGAGACGTCTGTCTGTACCCTCGATTCATCCAGCGCTGCCGACCCTGAACAGACAGACAGACACAGACACACACACACACAGACAGACACACACACACACACACACACACACACTCTGACCTGGCATGTGGCAGCGCTCTGTTAGCTATAAAACGTGCCATTACAATATTAATCAAAGAACAAGAATTTGACGTTTTGTCCCATAAGTTGTTTTATGTTCTGTATCATCCTGGATCACGAAGAGTTAAATCTTCAGTGAGCTGCATGATGTCTCACCACAGACAGTTAGAAACCCCACCTGCTGTGCTCCGCCTCAAACTTCACTGCTTCATCCTTGTATTCCTCCAAATTAAGTAATTAATAGACACTGTAGTTTATTGTGATTGTGTCTACAAGTTCTAAGAAAAATATAACACTGTCTCAAATGTGATCTTGAATGCTGCTAAATAACAACATAGTAAAAAACATAAAATGTAGTTGCAGATGACAAATGACAAAGCTGCATAATCACACATTTTAAGTTAAACATTTGTTGGTACACAGTCCACCAGCCAGTCATGAAATCAATCCTGTCAGATCTGTCTGTATGAAACTCTGCAGGTTAGATTGACAGGAATAAAAACAAGATTCCCTCAAAACAAACCTGGACGAACACCTAAGAAGACTATGGAAGCACATTCATCAAAGACAAAAAAATAGAGACACTATCTCGTAATTTTATCTTTCGCACAACTTAATCTGTTCTCGCAACTATGAAATAAGGTCTCTAATTTTTTTTTCTTTGATTTTGTTTTTTTAATGCAATGTTTCTGTGGAAAACGTATCAAAATAGCAACAGTCAGTGACGGATACAGAACGTTTGTGTTCCTGTGATGTCAGTAGATCAGTCTGTGGATGTTAGTTTTAAAGTGAGAACAGTATAGGTAGAGTACATCCCAATAATGTTTAATGCAGCGCTGCCACACACTCCACTTCTCCCATCATTTTACCGGATCCATCCTGACTGCTGCTGGTTGGGTGATGGTTATACCGTTACTGGTAGGTTCAAATGTCAGTCACAAAAACAACAGCGCCGCTTTTGTGCACTTTCCATGTATTTGGGAACATTTTTCTTCTCGCCAGACAGAAACAGAGCTGGGTCTGCAACGTGGCAGCAGCCTCCTCCATCAGTTGATTGTGATTGGTGGGTCAGAAATACCTCGGCTTCTCATCGTGTTGGTCTGTTCCGCCTCTTCCTGTGAAAATACTACTCAACTAATACAAATAAACTGCACTTAAATAAAATGGGATTCTAACGGATGGTTGTACGAGGGTTTTTCTTCAGGTGTCCGGTGGGTTGGGTTACGTCCTTGTTTGGATCCTTTGTAAAAGATATGAAATATAATTGAAAACCAGTAGATTGAACTAAAATAGGTTAAGTCTGTGTTATAGTATACCTGGTAGAAATACACCATAAAAGTACAGAATGAAATTGCTGCCACACCAGAAAAGAACGGATCAGTATAGTGTGAAATATGTTTTTCAAATGAGATATTTTTATATTATAAGATACGCTGCACATTTATAAGATATTTTATGTTACATATTTTCATGTTACTATGACAAACTTGTTATAAAAAGAACGTTTTCTTATAATATTTATCTTATGTTTCATATTTTCTTACAGGTTATTTTTTTTATATTTTCACATTCACATATGTAAGTTGTGACTAGGAGAAAAGTTTGGTTTTTTTGCCATAAATGTGTACTATCTATTCACTCAAAGACAAAGGAGTTCAGGTACTCAGGAATACTTATGTCATATTAGCGGATTTGCCTAAAGAAAAAACAAGGTCCCACAGCTTCAGTTCCTCTAATGGCCACTAGATGCTGCTCCAGAAAACTGATTACTAGCCCACATGAATAGAAAGCTGCTTCTTCAGGAGACACTGACACACTGGGAGGAACGTTTGTCTCTGTGGGTACAGACAGATCAGACAGACAGACAGACAGACAGGAGCTTGTGTATGTGAGGACTTCCTTCTTTAGCAGCGGTTGTTTTCTTGCTTTCTTTGTTTCCTGGTTCTTCTTTGGCTTCCTGCTTTATTATTGCAAAGTGATTTTAAAGGGAAGGAGGAAATGCGGCTTTAGACCTCAGTTCTGGAAAAACGGGTCTGATTAAAAGGAATCCAAAAGTTCCAAAAAACAGCCTACTCAAAGAAATGTTCTCCAGGAAGACAAAGAATGT